CATGGGAATTAAAAAAAAAAGTACTGGGGTCAAACGATCCAAGCAAGGTGACTGTCTAGCCCTGTCTTAAAGACCCCCAGGGTAGGAGCCAGCACCACTTCACTTGGAAGTTGGTCCCAGATCCTAGCTGCCCTGACAGTGAAGTAGCGACTCCTGATGTCTAATCTGAATTTATCCTCTGCCAGCCTGTGACCGTTATTTCTAGTCACTCCTGGTAGTGCTCGGGGGAACAGGGACTCCCCCAATGCCTGCTGGTCCCCCCTGACTAGTTTGTAACAGGCCACTAGATCCCCCCTCAGCCTTCTCTTGTGGAGGCTGAACAGGTTCAGGTCCCGTAGCCTCTCCTCGTAGGGCCTGCCTAATTATACATGTAATAGGGAAAGTGAAAAATATCCTAAATAGCTGTTATTTTAAATAGAGATATGGTCAAAAAAGGGGCTATGGAAAAGGGATTACTTTTATGTTACAGGCTTGCTTCCTGTTCATCTACTTGGTTTGTTGAGAAAAGTCATTTTTTAATTTTGTTTGTTTGTTGATAAAAGTAATCTGTCAAAAATGTACACCCTTTTTTGCCTTGTTCAGGAGGAAGAACATAGCAGAACTGAGCATATTTGGGTGAAGATAAAAGATGATATAATGGTGGGGATTTACCAAGTTAGGAAGTAGAGGTAGATTAGGCAGTCTTCAAGGAAATTACAAAATTATCCAGAAGTTAAGACGCTTGTCACAAACCCATCCATAAGGTAGCCTCGGAGCCCTGAGTTTCTCCCCACTGCATTGCCACTACCCCAAGGAACAAACTGAGTTTGTGCCAAGATCGCTCCCTGTCTCCGCAAGCCTCAGGTCCGCTGCCCTTATACTGCACACTGCAGCTGCAGTGAAGGAGTCTCTGCCAGCCCCAGAAATTACTGTATTTACCTGAATAAGATTAATTAAAGTTTAAGATGTAGTAAGACCTTGTATAAAGTAATGCCTAGTAAATTTAGCAAAGCCTTGAAGTAAACGTGTATTATAATTTTCCATGTATATAATTTAATTATTGGAGGATCATCTCAAATTCTCGCCCCCCTGCTGCAGGTAGCGGAGGGAGACATGATGAGGCAGTAATGGGGAAGACAGTACAGGAGTGATAGTGAGGGAGATAGTAGGGGAGCATGTGGTAGGGCAGGCAGTGAGAGGCAGGGGCGAAGCAGCAAGGGGGCAGGCAGCGAGAAGGCAGTGGAAAAAACAGGCAGCTTGCCCCATGCCACCTTTTCCCTCGCATTTACCCCCCCTTTGTGCCTGGCCCCCACAGCCTCAGACTCCCACTCTCCTCCCCCATCCCCTCTTCCCTCCTCCACATCTCTTCTGCCACCCCACATACTCATGTCCCCACCCTTGTGACAGCTGAAAATTATGTCTGTGTGATAAAGGTGCTTGCCGAAGGCTCTACGAAGATTAGACCAAGTGTTTTTCTGTATTTGTTTAGATATTAAGGTAAATATTGTTGCTAAGAGCCTAATTAAAGTTTAAGATGTAGTAAGGCCTTGTATAAAGTAACGCCTAGTAAATTTAGCAAAGCCTTGAAGTAGTAAGGCCCTGTGGCATAGTTAAAATTAACCTTATCAAAGGAATGCAAGGCTTGTACTGCTATTAGTCAGTCTAAGGACAATGGAAGTAAAAAGAATCTGAGTAGCTGTAAGTTATCAGCACAGTTCAGAAGTCAACAATTGGCTGAAACATCTGGAAATCATTCAGAAGGAAGATACAGCTCTGTGAAAGGGATTAATTAGCTGTTGACCTGGATTGGTGGGCCCATGGATCTCAAGGAGCCCAAAGACTGAATACCAGAGTCCTTCCTGGTACCACTCAGACAGCGCTGATTGGGGACATCTGACTTCACTGAGCTTTGTGAAAAGAGAAACTTGTCGTACATCAAGCATCAGAGGGCACTGCCGATAAGTTGCCGATGCAAATTATTATCGTCTGTCTTTATCTGTCTTAGTATACTACGCATAGTCATGTTTTTGTTAAGTCAATAAACCTTTCTTGCCTTCCTACCCCTGACCATACTCTCAACCCCAAACCCTCTGCTGGCAGCTGGGACACCCCTCCTCCCTCCTGTTTTCCTCCCCACCCTAAAGTCTCTCCCTCCCTGCCTACCCCTGCAGCTCCCCCTTACCATTGCTCCAGCACCAGCAGACTATGTCCCATTGCAGCCTGGGGGCACTGAGCAGGGCTTCAGCGCAGCTTCAGATGGGGCAACAGGGGCTTGAGGCTGTGGAGGCAGAGTGGTAGGGCGGTGGAGGGCAGGCAGAAGCCAGAGTCACAGAAGCTGTCTGCCCCCCACCACTTCATACTCAATTGTAAGACCCCTTGCCCTTTTTTAAAATATAAGTTTATCACTGTCTAGCCAGATTTTCTAAGCACTTCTGAATGGGGAACAATACACAAAGCAAGTCAAATGCTAATTTTCAACCACTGACTGTTGTCTAAGTGTTAACAGGTGACAGTCATCAAATTAATTATTGCCTTTCTAAAACAACCCTGGCTGAAATATAATGATATATAAAAATTACATTTATATCAAATATTATAACATACATGGTTATGAGAACAAAAAAATTGAGAGCTTTCCAATAGCTACAATTAAGAGACCGAATACCATAAGTGTAAACTTAATTTGGGCAAGCAGACATGCATGCCATTTGGTGAAACCCCAAAAGTAGCTCTGCCTTGGGGTGAATCCATGACAATAGTATTGATGGGGGACTTCAGTTTTCTGGATAAGTGCTGGAAGAGCAATGGAGCCAAACATCAAATGGTGAACAGGTTCTTTACATGGGTGAAGGACTTTCTGTTCCATAAGTTGAGGCACTAACTAAAGGATTCTCCATCTAGGATTTTGTCAGAAAAGAATGAATTGAGTATGTGAAGGTAATGGGTAACCTGGGAGGAAGTTATCATGATATAACAGAATTTACAGTTCTAAAATGGGTAGTATTCACAGGAAAAACTAGCCAAAGCCACACCTCTGTAAATTATTTGGAAGAGATGGGGAATGATGACAGGAAGACTTAAGTTAGCATTTGTGTGGAAAATAAATGAAGTTCAAAAAGTGGCAATGTGGGAAAATGCACCAATAATAGGGTTTGAAGTGATAAAAGGTACTTGTAAGCAGTACTATTGAACAAACTGATAGGTGATAGGAGAGGAAAAATTGAAAGGAACCCACTATGACAGAAGGAAAAATGAAATATGGTGTGAACATTATGTAAGGAGCTGAGAGATTCTACTAGTGGCACCTATATGTAGTTCTAGCTATCTCGATATCTGAAGGAGCTAAACAAATTGTAGGGAATTAATGGACTAGCAATAAAAATCTTGAAGCCCTGAAGAAAGAGAGATTTACAAAGAAAGATTAAAAACTAAATTTACTTATAATATTGGAGTTTAAGTACTGAAAGTATGCAACAACAAAGAATAAATTGTTCAGTATGATCAACAAGAAGTAGCAGTACACAAATGAAGAAAGAAGCTAAATATAATGAAAAAACCCCATTAACAGTAAAGATGCAGACACTGGGGAATACACTGCACTAGTGTATTCCTGATATACACTTCCAGCCATATAGAAGACCCAGTCCTGTCCTAACAGGGAGAAAAAACAAGATAACCTAATGAGTATTTTCCTCTTCCTGATGCTTAGAGGAAAAGTCTGCAATGAAATCTAAGTCAGTGGTTACCTTAATAAGCATGCTTAAGCCTTATATTCAACTGTGCTGCTGCAATTGAAAAAAAATCAGCCAAATGAACTACCTTGCCACTATTGTGTTGATTCTCACCTTTCAGTTAAGAGGAAAAAACCTACCTCAGCCAGATGTCTAAAAAAAAGGGAAGAGTTTAAGAAAAGGTTGATTTCAAGTGCTATTCTCTTTGGTGCACTTTAAATTGGCACCTATAAGAATGTTACTTTTAATTAACAGACATATATGATATGGGTCCCTGTGATAACAAGGATTGCATTTGGTGACCAAGAATATCCCTTTCTGTTCCTAAAACATTCACACAGTGACACTGGACACTTAAATGTAAGATGCTACACTGAACAAACTCAGCATCTGTACAGGTGACTCAGCAACATCTTTGATTTATGATGTCTCTTCCCAATTCAGGAAAGGTATTTTTGGAATTCCTTAGTGGTGGCAGAAGTGGCACATCTGACTTTACCTTGTCACTGTGTTTAGCACTCTGTCTGATATATGAACACATCCAATACCAAAGCAAAATGTTTTCCTGTGTCTAGTATTTTTCTTGCCAATACAGAAACAGAAAATGGCCAGGTGGTTACAGCAGATGCCAACTAATACTGCATATATGTTGTGAGCTATCAGGTAAGTGTTGCCATTTGGTTTTCTGTGCTGGTGCAGGGGAAGGTAGAAATATGTTATATAGATATGCACATAGCAAGGCACTCATGAATACACTGTGAAGAAATTTCCATTTCTCTTAATCAAATAATAAAAAGGAGAGGCCTCTATGATACCCACTGCAATATCCCATCCTTCATTATAAATTCTTGGTTGATAGAAAAGAATAGTTAAATGTAATATAATCAACTCTTATCCCTAATGACCATAAATTACTTACGTTTACACCAAACAGGGCTGCACACAGACAATAAAACAAAGATCAAAGTGTTATATCCAAATTATATTTTGCACTAAAACTGATATATTCCATTAAATATGCTACCTATGTGCAATAAAAAGAGAAAAAAGTGTGCTAGAACAGTACACAGGCTGTTACACCGTATGTGTTTGCAGGACTATAATAAATGTTTTTAATCTATGAAACATCTGGGACCAAAACAAAAAAAAAAAATCAATTTGTACCATTTTTAAGATAGAATGGGTTTATAGTGTGTAATCCAGCTTTTGCAATATAAACCTGCAGAAAACTAACAGCAACGGTCTATTCTTTAGGCTTTTTCTAGGAGTATAAAATATGCAGAATCCTACCAGGCCATATTGCCATGGGCTGTGTTGTCAAGGTGACAGAGTAGCTCCAGGGTTTGAGTGTTGCTTGATGAATCATCAGGGGATTCATGACTGCCTGATTCCAATTCCTTCGGCATCCTCCAAACAGCCGCACATGTCATGACTTTACTGTCTGAAGCTAAGCAGTAGAGGATAATGTCAACAGATCATTGTATAGGAGACGCATTTTGTATAAAGTGCACCAACATTTACACTCATTTATAAGCAGTACACATCTGCTATTTAAAATATTTAAAATATTATTTTAAGCTGTACTCAAAGAATGCTGAACATAGATAAAGGTGCAGGCCTCAAGTTAATAATCATAACTGAACGAAAAACTCATCATTAGTTCACATTTAACCCCCTTTTCTATGTTTTAAAACTCTAAATCAGCTCTGATGAAAATGCAGTTCTCCTGACAGTAGATATTCAAAGTTTGTTCATCTCACTGATGTTAGAAATTAAAGTGACCCCTTGCCAGCGGTTGGTTTTCACCCAAGCGTTAGCTACAAATTTTAACATCCCTTTTTGTGGATTTACTGGGTTACACCCACTTTGTGTCTATGGCACATATACAGTACATCCTTTGCTAGGAAAGACTGTTTACCAAAATGATTTGTGTTCTAAATAAATAAGTTCAAGTGTCTCCACCTCTAATTCCAGCATTCAAATGAACAATTTCCTAAAATATAGGATATTAAAATAGAAAGAGAAGCAGCAGAATATGTTTAAAACAATGTGTGTAAAATTTACATTTTTAAAATGATACAGTAAAATATTGGTGCATCTCTAATGCACGAGCCAGTAATGACATGGAGAAAAACGAAGTCACAGGGCCCATCTCTCAACTGTCTCTCAGCATGCTTAGCAATGTGCACCAGTACAAAGTGTATGCAAGTGATACTAGATTAGAATGGCACACGCATTTTATATTGGTGCAAATTGTTAAGAGTCTGGTCCACGGTGCACAAAAGATGGAGAACAGGTCAGTACAAGATAGCATTGTGCAAAGATATCACTGTGCAAAGAAAATCTCATCTTTCAGGGTAGTAACAAGGATGCCAATAATAAAGAGATGGTGTCTAAAGCATGGAGCAGGGAGAAAGGGGGTGAATTTGATTCCGTATTAAAAAATATTCTAAGTAAAAAAACAATGGGTAACTAACAGTGAAGATATGCATGTATAGTTACTTAACATCATGGCTCTCTCTTGCAGTTCTTATAACTGATTCTTAGTACATTCAACTGGTTTTAGTCAATGGTGACTGATTAAGAAGCTATGAACTAAGGAAATTGTGTTGGCTTTGACAGCCTGTGGAAAGGAAAACAGAGAATCCGTGCTAGAAAAGTGATTTAAAAAAGAGGTAAGTCAGAAAGTGGCCTTCTTGGACTGTGATGTCAGCGATACATTTGTAGGAAACCCAGCAGCATAACAACCAGGGTCTGCATCCTGGGCAGTAGGCTTCATGGCGAGAGCTGAAGTGGCTGCAGCAGCGATTGCAGCAAACCAGGCTGCTGCTGCCATTCTTACGCTCCCTCCAAGCGGGAGCCCTGGTCATCTACCCCTCTAAACTACTGACGAAACCAGCATCCATGCTGTTAAAGAAACTGGTCTAGGCATTAACAATAAATATGAATAAAGCATTCTGAAGAGATTAAAAAATTAATATAAAATAAAATAGAATAAATAATGCATCTTAAATCTGAGAGAGAGAGGCAGGAAAAGCAGCCACCTACTAAAGTGAAACATGGATGAAATTAAGGAAAACCAATGGAAGAAAATGCCAATCAGTTCCCTGAGGAAAGGCTGAGGGACCTGACTGGCATTTTACGTTGCAGAGTTCATAATATATGGCTATTTGAATTTTGTGAGTTGTATTTGGTGAGCTGTACGTACTATGAATGTGAAAAAAAAAATGCCTCAACTTGCTATCACATGAACAACATCTCTAGAAAAGTAAATGTACTGAAAAGTCCCCTGTCATTTGTAACCATGTAACTGGGTCTCTGTTGCAAATGCTGTCTCATCACCCAATGCTACAACATTTAAGGCAATCCCTCCACCTCACAAATACAGATATCAAATCAAAAAGACAAAGCAGCATATTACAGCCATTTTTCCCAAGAGGTGAATTGGTGCACCCCACAACTAAGCATTTTGCGTTATATGAATCATGTAAGCATAATGAGCACTTAAACTGAATTGAATTTACAGTATGTCCTATAAAGACAGCATTTCCTGAAAGAATGCCATGCCTGGATACTCAATATATGTGCTCTCATCGCTGGTAAGTAACACTGAAAGGATCACTATACACACAAAGTTTCCTCTCTTCTACAAACACTTGCACAGAAAAACATTAAGGGAGCAAGCTGTATAGAAGAGGACATGGAAGACTGACTCTCCAGAGGCTGATTATGGCCTGCAGAACCTGCGGAGAAACATGGCAATTGATTTTCAACCAGGTTCTGCTTTCAGAAAGTTTGAGATGCTGAGGAGGTTTAGCAGCTTTAGTCTTCTTATATTTGCCCCAAGATACATATGAACAAGTTTGCTTAAAGGCATGTTAATGATAAAACCTACACCACAGCAGTAAAGCAGACTCAGCATGCAACCACAATTTATTGCTTTAATGAATTTTGAGAACTTTTGAAAACTCTTCATTTTTAAAGATATTTTAATCTACTGAATGATCTAGTGTTACCAGTAATAGAGTAGTATCCAGCATGTGCTAGGCACTAAACATAAATATATAAAGGCATGGTGCATGCCTAAAGAAGTTACAGTTGACAAGAAATAAATGTTTTCCTTCAATCATCTTCAAACTACAGTAGTAAGTCAACCAGCTCTTCTAAGCTGAACTAGGTAGTTTCATATAACCTATTATTGCCTTAAAAACCAAGATTAAAAACTGTACTCCAAGAGCTTCCCCATCCTTGGGGAGATGCTGACAGTAGCAGGGAAGCCCAGCAGAGGCTGTGATCCAAATGTGTAAGCAGCCTGAAGAGTTTACCTATACAATAAGTTCAGAAGCAACTAGCTCCCAACATCACAGCTATGATTCACACCTCAAACCCCCTGAAAAAATTTTAAGCTAAGTATTTCTGTGGTGCCAAATCTAAGGAAGGTGCAAATATAACTTACAGGTTGACACCTCCACTTAAGTTTTGAACCCCCTGATGAACTTTAAATATCACTATTACATACACAAAGAACTACTATATTTTCCCACATACCACGTGCTTCAACAAAAGACATGCACCTTACTTTTGGAAGAAAGGATGTAGAAAAAAATAGTTTTTCCAGAGCAATGTTCAACTCTGTAATAGAGCAGGTCTTCCTGGAAACAGAGAGGCCAGATCCTGACGTGCAGGCACCTGCATTTCCTTGGGGACAAACAGCTGCGGCACAATATGTGCAGCTACTACTTGTCCCTAGGGAACACCCATGCACACATGCTCTGGTGCGGGGTGGGAAGGCTGGGGCCAGCACCTGGACTGACCCCCGATGCCTTCCTGTGGCCCTGGGGTGGTCCCAGAGCTTCAGCAGTGGCAATCCGGAGCTTTGTAGGCAACTGGAGTATGGTTCCAGCTAGCCAGGCTCTGGTTTGGGGCAGCACACGCTGCTGCTATGTGCACTGCCCCACTTTTTTTCCACTGTGGGCTTTTTTGACACTGGGATCTCCCAGTGTCAACACTCCCCTCCCCCGGCACTGCAAATTAGCAGCATGGAGAACACCTGCATGTGTGGTGCTGCAGATGGGTCTGTGGCACTACATGCTGCACACGCACACTTGTCTGGATGTCCCCCAGTGTCCAGAAAGTACGGAAGCCTAGGAGCCAGTCTTGAGTAAGAAAGTAGAAACTTCATATTGTGGTAGGTTAGCAGCAAGGTTAGGTCCAGGATCCTTGAAAGGGTCAGTAGCAAGACTGTTCTTTCTTTAGCATAATAGTTCTTTATATTTCATAGATTTCATAGACATTAGGGCTGGAAGGGACCTTAGAAGATCATCCAGTCCAGCCCCCTGAACAAAGGGCAGGAAGTCAGCTCGGGTCATAGGATCCCAGCAAGATAAGTATCCAATTTGCTCTTGAAGGTGTTCAATGAAGAATAATTTTGCTTTTAAGTCTCAGAATTTCCTGAATAATGAATTCTAGGTTCCCACAAATCCTAATTATTAACCCCCCC